AGAGAGAGAGAGAGAGAGAGAGAGAGAGAGAGAGAGAGAGAGAGAGAGAGAGAGAGAGAGAGAGAGAGAGAGAGGAGAGATAGAGAGAGAGAGAGAGAGACCAGAGAAAGATATTATGGAGAAAGGAAGAGTGAGAGAGTGGTGAAGAGTGAAACGGGGAGAGGGTGCGCGACGGAGAGATAACGAGAGAAGGAGAACGACACAGAGTGAGAAAGAGAGAGAGCGTGGGACCAGAAAAAGATACAAAGAGGGCGGATCAGTGAGAGAGTGGGGAAGAATGAAACGGAGAGAGTGTGCGCGACAGAAAGATAAAAAGAGAAGGGGAACGACAGAGAGAGCGAGAGAGAGAGAGCGACCAGAGGAAAATATATACAGAGAGGAAGAGAGAGGCAGAGAAGAAAGGAGAGAGGAAGAGAGAGACTGGGAGGGAAAGAGAGAGAGAGAGAGAGAGCGCGCGCGCAAACGCAATTGAGCGAGAGAAGAGGAAAGAAACTGACTTTGGGATATCAAATATATATTCGTACCAAAAATCTTATCAGGTAGCTGTTAGTTACACTTGTTGCTGGAAGCGGGACAGCGCCCGTCAACAAAAACTTGTATAATGCGTTAGAAATAAAACATGATCTTATTTATTATTACGTCGACGATAATAGTAGTAAAATAATACATCTTATATGCTAGCGATATTCTGATTGTATCTTTATATGACTTTTGCACCCAGACTTTTCCTAAACAGCTAAGCCTCACATGCATTTATCTCCCAATTAGTCACGTGTGCATGCTGACGTAAGATGACGTTAGGATAATGACGCGACATCGCGCGTGAATACAGGTTGCGGCGGTGATGTTTTGTGACGTCATGCGATTGTACGACCAGCCCTCCTGAAAGCGATGGGACAGGATATTTAAGTGGGCGCTGGCACATTTAAATACTAATAATAGTTAATTATTTCATATAGGTGGTACTCGTGATGGTAGTAATATCGATATTATTACTATTATTATTATTAGTTGCTTAGTTGTAATAGTAGTAGTAGTAGTAGTAGTGGTAGTAGTAGTAGTAGTAGTAGTAGTAGTAGTAGTAGTAGTAGTAGTAGTAGTAGTAGTAGTAGTAGTAGTAGTAGTAGTAGTAGCTGTATCTACCTGTAGATTGCGCCATGTTAGTTGGACGAGGTGAGGGAGGCCCACGGTACAAACCAGGATAGGTAGCTGTCTCCGTAGCCTGTCGTCTGCATCTCATCGACGTCATAACCTATAAGCAGCGCAGACGGCAGCATTAGAACTAAGCGTGTCGCACTTTCTAGACTCTAAGCACTTATAGCAGATTTCTAAACGCACTTCAAGACTTCTCGCGGACATTTGAATGTGTCATAAGACGTCTTAAGACCCTTCACGTTTTATCGAAGTTGCAATCACGAGAACAACAATAATGTAAGAAGAAGGAGGGAGGGGGAAGGTCATACTAACTAGAACAACAATAATGTGAGAAGAAGGAGGGAGGGGAAAGGTCATACTAACTAGAACAACAATAATGTGAGAAGAAGGAGAGAGGGGAAGGTCATACTGACTAGAACAACAATAATGTTAGAGGAAGGAAGAAGGGCGAAGGTCATACTAACTAGAACAACAATAATGTTAGAGGAAGGAAGAAGGGGGAAGGTCATACTAACTAGAACAACAATAATGTGAGAAGAAGGAGGGAGGGGGAAGGTCATACTAACTAGAACAACAATAATGTGAGAAGAAGGAGGGAGGGGAAAGGTCATACTGACTAGAACAACAATAATGTTAGAGGAAGGAAGAAGGGGGAAGGTCATACTAACTAGAACAACAATAATGTGAGAAGAAGGAGGGAGGGGAAAGGTCATACTGACTAGAACAACAATAATGTGAGAGGAAGGAGGGAGGGGAAAGGTCATACTAACTAGAACAACAATAATGTGAGAGGAGTGATGGAGGGAGGGCGACATACCCATTAAACCAACAACATTGTGTGAGTGGGAAGGGGGAAACGGGATACTTACTGGAAGGGTCGCCTCTGCCGAAGCGCGGGAACATGACCTTCTGCGACTTGTCCCAGACGATGCGTCGGCGCCGGTGCTGCCAGTTGGTGCTGCTGTTCACCGTCAGTACGGTGACCTGGTCGTGTGAGATGACGTAGCAGAGCAGGGCTGCAGCGAGCGCCATTACTGCAGAGGAAGAAAGAGAGAGAGAGAAAGTCAGAAAGAGAGAAAGAATGATAGAGAGGGAGATAGAGAGGCAGAGAGAGAGACGGCCACAGTAAGAGAAAGAGCAAGAGAAAAGGTGAGAGACAAGGAGATAGAGGTAGAGGGAGTAAACGAAAGAGAAAGAGAGGAAGGGAAGAGAAAAAGATAAAGAGAACGAGAGCGAGGAAGGGCAAGAGGGAGAAAATGATAAAAAGAGAGAGAGAGAGAGCACGCGCTCGAGAGAGAGAGATAGAGAGTGATCCATACAGCGAGTGAGAGACATGGAGAGAGATCGAGAGAGAAAGAGAGACAGACAGACAGAGAGCGAAGAGGGGGGGGGCAGAGAAATAAAGAGAGGGAGATCGCGGGAACGAGACAACACGTACTAAGGGTATATGCATCACCTAGTATCAGTCTCACGTTGTTCATCTTAGAGCTTTCCGAGCGTTCCTTTCTTCCTTCCGTCTATCCTTCTATCCTTCTATCCTTCTATCCTTCCTTTCTTCTATCCTCGAGCTGGCGAAGCAATCAATCGACGCGACACAGCTCCGTGTTTATATACGCATCCAGGCGTGCGCGTCACGTGACGTGTCCGTGCGCGGCGGCAGACAGATGAGAGGACGCACGGTGAGAGAGAGAGAGAGAGAGAGAGAGGGAGGAGGGAGGGAGGAAGGAGAGAGAGAGAGAGAGAGAGAGAGAGAGAGAGAGAGAGGAGAGGAGAGAAAGAGCGAGAGAGAAAAGAACGAGAGCACGTGAGAGACGAAGAGGATAGAGGAATGAGAGGGGGGCCCGCCCGCGATGCACGAGCGAGACCAAGGAGAAGAGAAGGAGGGAGAGAGAGAGAGAGATAAGAAAGATGAGGAGATAGACAAGAAGCAGAGAGAAAGAGAGAGAATAAGAGCGAACACCGATGCTGCGAGCGAGACAGAAGGAGAGGAAGGCGAGGAGAGAAAGACGAGAAAGAGGAGAGAGAGAAAGGGGTGGTCGGAGAGAGAGAGGAACGAGAGAAAGGAGAGGGAAGAGAGAGAGGGAGAGAGAGAGGAAGAACGAGGATCGAGAGAGAGAGAAGAGAAAGATGAGGAGAGGAGAGGCCCGATGGCTGACGAGAAGGAGAGGAGAAGGTCGAGAGGCGAGAAGAGAGAGAGAAGAGAGAGAGGGGAGAGAAGAAGAGACAGAGGTGAGACAGACGAGAGCAGAGAAGAGAGGAGAGAGGAAGAGAGAGAGACGAGGAGACGGGAGAGAGAGAGAGAGAGAGACGATCGAGGGAGCAGAGGGAGACAGAGGAGACGATGAGAGAGAGAGAGGAGAGAGAGGAGAGAGAAGCAGAGGGGAGGACGAGAGAGAGAGATGATACGAAGACGAGGGAGAGAGAAGAGAAGAGAGGGAGGAGTGTGACGGAGAGAGAGAGGGAAGAGAGGAGAGAAGAGAAGGAGCGACGAGAGAGGGAGAGAGAGATGGAGAAGATGAGAGAGAGACGAGCGAGAGAGACGATGAGGAGAGAGAGAGAGCAGAGGGAGTGACGAGAGAGAGAGAGAGAGAGAGGGGAGAGACGAGAGTGAGAAAGAGAGAGAGAGAAAAGAGAGAGGCCTCTTGACTCTTATGAGAGAGAAGCAGAGGAGAGAGAGGGAGAGAGAGATGGGTGGTGGTGGGGGGACCCGGAGGGAAGGGCGGTGTAGAGGCACGTCGCAGCGGGAGAGGAGAGAGAGAGAGAAGCCAGAGAGAGAGAGAAGATAGAGAGAGAGGAGGCGCGAGGCAGCAGGGCCAGAGCAGGTGAGGCATGCGGGAGGCCGGAGCGTTTACGAAGAGTTAACGAAATATCTTTCTGTAATCTTTTCGATGTAATCGTATAACCTCGATTATGTTCTATTGTTTCTGTGGTAAAACTCGGCGCAGGACGTGAGCGCGCGACTTTTGATCATGACGCAAGTCACGTGATTCGTCTAGACGGGCAATCAGCTAATGCTCGGCCGTTGAGTGTTTCGTGTTATGCATGAACCACCCGCGCGAGAATGACATCCCACCCTGCGCCTCCTCTCGCCTTCGCTTACTATTTGTCCACCCCCCCAGATAGTCGCGCAATACTTGCTGCAGGGGTGACGTTAACTACACAAAAAGAGGCGCTGCACCGCGTGACGCAAAGAAAAACGTTGTACATATATAGTATATATATATATATATATTATTGATATTAGATATATATGTATACTTATATATACACTTAGCGATATAGGCGCCGTGTTCGAACCATGCTATGCAGTCTAGACTGCGGACGAGTCGCGAGGCGCCATGTTACGCGAGTGAGATTATGTGTGTTTTTGGCGAAATCGTCGGCGCAAATGCTGCGAGCGAAGTGAAGTATGTAGACTCAGATTTTCCATGCACACGTTGGCTGTCGGCTGGCAGGCTCAAGTTTGAACGTGTAAGGACGGCCGAAGAATATTATCTTTGGCAGTCAACCGGCGGCGACGCTCGAGCCGCCATTTGCTTATACATTAGCATAGCTGAGAATCATGGCGCGATTGTCCAGAACGAATCTGTACTTTGGGCTCTGTTATCTACCCTGCAATCTACCTGCACGTTCTACCTCGCATCTACCTGCTCTACCGATTACCATGCATCATACCCTGCCATCTACCATGCATCTACCCTGGCATTACCTGATCTACCCTGCATCTACCCTGCGCATCTACCCTGCACTTCTACCCTGGATCTACCCATGACATCTACCTGCATGCTTACCCCTGCTCAACCCTGCATCTACCCCTGCTTTCTTACCCTGCATACTTACCCTGCATGCTACCCTGCATCGACCCCTGCATTCACCCTGCATCTACCTGCATTACCCTGCATTTCTAACCCTGCATCTACCCTGCATCTACCTGAATCTACCAAGCATCTACCCTGCCACTAACCTGCCTATCTACCCTGCAATTACCCTGATCTACTGCATCCTTACCCTGATCTTACCCAGTGCGCATCTATCCTGCATTACCTGCATCTTACTGCATCTACCCTGCATCTAGCTGCATCTACCCTGCATCTACCCTGATACTACCTGCATCTACCTGCATACTACCCTGCATATACCTGCTCTTAACCTTGCATATACCTGCATTTACTGATTACCCTGCATTTAGCCATGCATACTACCCTGCATCTACCTGATCTACCTCATCTACCCTGCAATTCTACCCTGCGATCTACCCGCATCTACCTCTGCATCTACCCTGCATCCTTACTAGCATCTACCACTGCATCTACCATGCATTACCGCATCTACCCTGGCACTCTTACCCTGCATCTACCCTGCCATCTTACCCTGCATCTACCCTGCATCGACCTGCATCTTACCCTGACTTCTACCCTGCTTCTACCCTGATCTACCCTGCATCTACCACTGCATCTACCCTTGCACTTACCCCTGCATGCTACCTGCATCTACCATGCATCTACCCTGCATCGTGTACCCTGATTCTACCCTGCAGTCTACCCGTGAACTACCTGCATCTAACCCTGCTTCTACCCTGTTCTACCTGCCATTACCTGCATCCTAACCCTGCATCTGTCCGGACCTGGAGTATACCCTGCTTCTACCTGCCATTCTACTGCATCTTTTACCCTTGCATCTACCTGGCTTCTACCCTGCAGCTCTACCTACTAGACTGGCGTATTATATTGTGTATGTGGGTCGTGCGTTGCGTGCGTCATGCTCGTCGCGTGTGTCGCGTGCGTTGCATGTGTGTGTGTGTGTGTGTGTGGCGCGTGTGTGTATGTGGTGGAGTGGTGTTGTGTGCGTGTGTGAGTGTGTGTGTGTCGTATGTGTGTGTGTCTGTCTCTGTGTGTGTGTTGTGTGTGCTGTGTGTGTGTGTGTGTGTGTGTGTGTGTGTGTGTGTGTGTGTGATGTTGTGCTGTAAGTGTGTGTGAGGGTCCTGACACCGTGTGTGTGTCGATTAGTGTGTATGTGTATGTGTGTGTGTGTTGTGTGTGCCGCTGTGTGTGTTGCGTGTGCTCTGTGACTGGTATGTGTGTGTGTGCTGTGTGTGCCCTTGTGTGTGTGTGGTGTGTGTCGTGTGTTGTGTGTGTGGTGTGTGGTGGTGTGTGTGTGTGATGTGTGTGTGTGTGTGTGTGGTGTGTGTTAGTGTGTGCGTGCGTGTGTGTTGTCGTGCGTTGGTGTGGGTGTGTGTGTTCTGTGTGTGTGGTGTGTGTGTCGTGCGTGTGTGTGTGTGTGTGTGTGTGTGTGTGTGTTGTGTGTGTGTGTGTGTGGTGTTGCTGTGCGTGTGCGTGTATGTGTGTGTATTGTGTGCTGTGAGAGTGTGCATGTGTGTGTGTGTGTGAGTGTCGCACGAGATGTGGTGTTGTATGTGTGTGTGTGTCGTGTGTGTGTGTGTGTGTGCGCCACCCATCGTC